TCATGTTGAACAACATTTCCCAATAAACATAGGTCGAAATATGAAAAAAAAATTAAGCCTTCCATACTAAATTGTCGATCAGTTTAATGATTGTATGGGGGAGGCAATTTTTTTTTTCATATTTCGACCTATGTTTATTAGGAAAATTTGTTCAAAATGACGGGTAAATAAAGTGGGTTTCGTTTGTAAGACGGTTTAAAATGCACCGTGTATACTTAACGCAGTATTAATTCTTTAAATCTGTATATTACTATCATATTTTATTAGAAATGTTTATTTCAAAATGTTATTTCGGTTTTAGGTACAAACCCTCAAGCTTGCCGCAGTTTCCGAAATGCGGACACAAGCAAAAGGCGTTTCGATGTAGTGAATTATCATGTCAAGATATATGAAAATTTCACAAAAATTTCTATAAGTGTGCTACGAAAGTGAAGCAAGACTGTTTTATATTGAAATATTGTAATATATCAGAAGCAAAGTCATTAAATGCCAACAGTAAAAGAAAAGTTGCTATTAAGTATACCATACTTAGTAAAAATGGGACCAAAATACCGGTATGTCAAAAAACTTTCATGGCAGCACTAGTAATAAAAAAAGATCGAATACAGGGAGTAATGAACAGATTTTTAAGTAATGGAGGTGAAATGCCAGAAGAGAAGCGTGGAGGTGACAGGAAGAGAGAAAAATACGAAGCCAAAAGATTATCCGTCGAATGGTTCATCGAATCCTTTCAGGGACAAGAGAGTCACTATTGTCGTTCGAAAAGTATCAATAGAATATATCTTGATTCAGGCTTGACAATACGTAAAATGTGGCGTATGTATAACGCTGCCCGTGACGAGGATTTGAGAGTTAAACAAAGTTTTTTCAGACATGTTTTTAATACTAAGTATAATATAGGCTTTGGGAATCCTAGGACAGACGTGTGTTCAACGTGCATTGAACTATTAGAACGCATAAAAAAGGAGAAGGACGCTTCAAAAAAAACGCACTTATGGTCGAAAAAAGACTTCATCGCCTTAAATACAAAGCCTTCTATGCAATATTGCAAGAAGAAAACGAAATCCTTCAAACCATATCCTTCGATTGCCAAAAAAACCAGGCAATGCCCAAAGTACCGGATCAATCTGCCTACTACAGTCGCCAAATCAACTTTTACCACTTTGCCATTGTTGTGGGAAATTCAAAGGCTAAACTCGACAAAAATAACATTCATTCCTACTATTGGGATGAAACTTCACACTGCAAAGGTAGTAACGAGATAATTAGCGCAGTTTACGATTTATTAAAAAACTTTGAATTTGGAGAAAACATAAAAGTTCTACGAATAGTGTCTGATGGTTGTGCAGGACAAAACAAAAATACAGGTATGATAGCGATGCTCGGTAAATGGCTGTACACAGAAGCCCCAAAAAATATCAAAAAAATAGAGCTGATTTTCCCTGTTGTGGGTCACTCCTTTATACCTCCAGATAGGCTGTTTGCCAAAATTGAGAAAACGTTGAAAACTAAAGAAGTGATAACCTCTCCATCCGAGTATGCAGCTGTCTTAAAACAAAATGGTATGTGCAAAGACCTAGCATCAATTCCTGTATTTGATTGGAAGAAAAGTTACGAATCCATCATTAAACCTACTACGTCTTGGCATTTTCAGTTTATGAAAACAAAAAGGTTTTTTATTTCAAGAACGAAATCAGAAAACATTTTAGTACAGGGTGAACAGACGTACAGAAACGAAATACGCGAAAAAAAGATTATCACAAAAAAAAATAAAAAAATCACTATGATATCTCCTCAAATAATCCAGCCAAATCGTGTTTACATAAAACAAGCAAAAGTTCAAGACGTTGACAGACTTCTTAAAAAACACTATGGAAATGAGTGGAGAAACTTGGAAGAATTGATTTTTTTTTAAACTATAATAGAGAGAATAAATACGACTGAAACGGGATATTTTCTGAGATTGTCGGAAGAGACTGATTTGTGTGAAGCAGGATTTACTGATAATATTTGTCATGTTTAAATTCTTTCATTTTTTTTTGTATTTCTAATAAGTAGGTACACTGTTAATTAAAATATAAGAACACAATAACACCTTTTATTTCATGCCTATAACAGATTTATCGTGTTTAAAAGAAACTACTTGATTCTGGATTTTTATGAAAGCTACATTTATCTACTATCTTGCAGGTTGTTGATATCTTGTATAGCACCATCCTTTAATAAGATTTTGTTAGTTGCAAAACCCACTAAAAAGTAACATGTTACTATCAAATTCCTCTTAATTCAGAAATGAGTTTCATAATCCACTAAAATAAAAGAAAAAATCGCAATATTTTTGTTTATTTAACTAATTTGTTGCTGAAAAGGGAATTTAAAGTGTTGCCATATTATGAGGGTTCATATTATACAAAAAAGATTATTGTCTATAACATCAATCGACGACGAGAAGTTTTTAGTAGTTTATGGAAAATAATCAAAACTTATTTTAGTGGCTTTTGAAACTAGACGACTCAATTATTATTTTTCGCCAAAACAATACTATTCTATTGGTAACGTTGTTTTTTATATGTATTTTGATTTTTATTCAATAAAGTTCGTAAATATTTTAGATTTGTTTGAAGCAACCCTAACCATGCTCATTGGTTATTATGAAGAACTTGCCTCATAAAGCCCAACTTTGCCTACTTGTAAGAAAAAAAGTATTATTTAGATGTTGGCCATCATATAGACATCATGACGTTAACACAAGATTTAGCTTTTACATATGACTATTTTTGAATGATGTAATTGCATATTTTTTCTGATAATTATCCAGGCAAAGTTGCGCCATTTTCCCCCAACTTTGCCTACAACTTTGATAGTTCCTGAACATCAATCTGACATCAGTTTTGGTATTATGAACCTTATTACTTGACTCATATGTCTATGAATTTGCTTAATGTTTTAAAACCGGCACAGATAATAAAATATCTTCGTGTTTTTTTTTTAGTTTATAAGGTCAACAAACAGTTTTACAATAAATCTTATAACAAATATAATAACATCAAGTTTTTATAATTGCAAAACCAACACCGTTAACCACAAGTTACTTAATCAAGTGATATCAATGAAAACCATCAAATTACGTGCAAAGTTGCAGCATTTTACGGTACTGTGCTCGTGCGACGGTTTAGCTGTAATAACCTGGAGAAGAAATCTTTTTATTTAAACTCATCGCACGATGAGATGGCATCGTGCCATCGTACGATGAGATCGCGTCATGTCATCGTACGATCGTTGTCATTACGGACGACGCCATTGATAAAAATGTTTACTTTCAAACTGCACATGTGATGTTTTGCAGGGCCGGATTTAGAGGTGTGGGGAATCCAGATATTAAAATAGGGGTATTTTGAATTCTAGAAAACCGGGCCACTTAGGATTTGTATTATTCTACCGACATATAAGGTATAATTTACGAGTGATACTCCCGAACTTCTCCTTTCTCCCAAACATGAACAAATTAATAAAAAAATTATGATATGGTTTTATGAAACTACGATGCAAGTAAAACTTTGGAAAACATTAAAATAAAAAAAAGGAGTTATTTTCCCTGGTGGATATATATTGTGTCCCATCTTATATTCTATGTGTACCCAACATGTCTAAGAAGTCCGTCAGTTTTTGCAATCAAAACTTTGTTCAGTTTCTCGTGAAAGTAAGTATACAGGGTGTAAAAAAACCTATGATAAAGACTTAAACTACGCATTCTGTACACCCAAACAAGTCATATTACAAAATATTATACGTGGGAATCATATTTTGTATTTTTAAGTTAGAAAAATAAAAAAATACCAGTACGCGATGTATAGCGCGGCGCGCTACTGTGGCGCTACGCAAAGAATGTGCCTGTGTGTATGTGTGTCTGTGTGTAAGTGCGTCGATAAAAAAGTTTCTAAATAATGTTTTAAAAATATCAATGTATGAATCTTGAAAAAGAATTGTGACTTTGAACTTCAATGATGTCAATTCTGGCATGATTCTCTAAAGCTGAACTTAAATTTGACAACAGTGCATCCTTGTCGTTCTCTATACAGAATGAAAAGGAGAGCCTGATGTTAAATATAGTTTTAAGTTTAGAGAATCACGCCAGAATCGACACCATTATCTCGATAACTATAAATTTCCCAGGTATGGTCCAGAAGAAAAAAATTATCGTCATGATGTGGAAAATACGGGGCTTTCGGCTTCGTTAAAGGATTATTTACACCCTGACTGTTCATCTTTCCAGTCAGGATAATATTCTGTGTTTATAATGTTTCCAAATGCGTGTTGAGTGATGTTATAAAGCTATCGGCATTATATTAGGTATATATTTGATGCAGATCGGTAAATTCCCATAATTATACTGTCATTAGTCAGTATTTCTAGACACGAGACGTCTTGTATAATTATTACAATGACAGACAAATTGTTTTCAATGTAAAGAACAACATCATCAGCATAACATTGATTAAAATAACGCGTTGAAAATAATGACATATAATTTATAAGCAAGGGAATAGGTTTATCTTTATTAAGCCAACATTCTGTAAGCACAATTATATCTGTCTATCTGTCACGTTTGAGTTGCGTGAAAGTTACGAGTAAATCATTAAAGTTGCATTGTATACTACGAATATTTTTAATCACCAATATCGGACCATTTTCTTTAATTTTTTATTTAATCGTAGTCACTCTGAATTCTTTTTCATGTGAATTAATAATTACTATCAGTAAATCTTTTATCGCAGATGTTACATTTATAACGTTGCTCTCCCGTGTTATTTCTTTGATGTCTAGAAAAAGAAAATCCTTTACCTCTGACGGTACATTCATAAGGTTTCTCTCCCGTGTGATTTCTTTGATGTGTGTACAAATGACTATTCTTTGTAAATTTTTAATCCCAGATGTTACATTTATAAGGTTTATTTCCAGTGTGAATTACATCTTTTATGTGTGGTCAAATTTATATTATAAGTAAATTGTTTATCGCAGACGTTACATTTATAAGGTTTCTCTCCAGTGTGAATTCTTTGATGTGTGGATAAAGCACTGCTTTGAGTAAATTTCTTATCGCAGACGTTACATTTATAAGGTTTCTCTCCTGTGTGAATTCTTTTATGTTTGGATAAATTAGCACTACCTGTAAATCTTTTATCGCAGACGTTGCATTTATAAGGTTTCTCTCCCGTGTGAATTCGTTGATGTGTGGATAATCTACCACCATCAGTAAATCCTTTATCGCAGACTTTACATTTATAAGGTTTCTCTCCGGTGTGAATTCTTTTATGTCTGGATAAATTAGCACTACTTGTAAATCTTTTATCGCAGACGTTGCATTTATATGGTTTCTCTCCCGTGTGAATTCTTTGATGTGTGGATAAACTACCACCATCAGTAAATCCTTTATCGCAGACGTTACATTTATAAGGTTTCTCTCCGGTGTGAATTCTTTGATGATTTGATAAAGAACCATTCGTAGTAAATCTTTTATCACAGATATCACATTGATAAGGTTTCTCTCCCGTGTGAATTCTTAGATGTGTGTTTAAATTATCACTATTAGTAAATCTTTTATCGCAGGCGTTACATTTATAAGGTTTCTCTCCAGTGTGAATTCTTTTATGTGTGGATAAATTAGCACTACTTGTAAATCTTTTATCACAGACGTTGCATTTATAAGGTTTCACTCCCGTGTGAATTCTTTGATGTGTGTATAAACTACTAAATTGAGTAAAACATTTATCGCAGACGTTACATTTATAAGGTTTCTCTCCCGTGTGAATTCTTTGATGTTCGGACAAATTACCATTCTTAGTAAATCTTTTATCACAGACGTTACATTTATACGGTTTCTCTCCCGAGTGTTTTTTTCTATCACAGGTGCTATTGTTATACGGTGTTTGTTTCAGACCAGTCTTACTATCGCGTTTATTTATCGAATGACCACGGTTGCTTATCATTACAGAACCAGTGTGGTTCTTTAATTTGATTTTATTATCATTTAAGTTTATTTCATACGACATGGTATTATTTTTGTTAGGTATGGTGATAATTTCAGTATGAGATTTTTTTATATGACTTACTAATTGGTTTTTACAAAAAAAAATATTTTTACAGATATCACATATAAAAGTTTCTGTAGGATTTATGATTTTGTTGTGTTCGTTCTTTTTCACATTGTCGTTTTTATAACTATTTGTGAAAATGTTTGGTGTAGAGAGACTGTCGTCAGTTTTGAATTCTGTTATTTTATTTGGATCACCAATTTGAGCTTCGTTTTTTGTTCCCCTGTTTTCTTTGTTTGTTCTCGACGCTGTTGGAGGGTTAAGTTGGAACTCCTTGTCTATTTCGTTGGTCAACTTACGTTTCTCGGGCAGGTTTGCTTCTGTAAATAAATATTACTTCATTTTTTCAACAATCATAATCAGGCTTATATGGATAATACTCAAAAAACACTTTTCCTTTTTTTTTGCAAATAACTGCTAGTTGTTTAAATCGTAAGAAAATTTTATTAGAAAAAATTCCACGAGGACCAGGCAGCAGACGGGACTCAAATTCGCAACCTTCGCTATCCAGGCGAATGCACTGACTATTATGCTACCGCGGCCCTGATGGCCGTGTCCAATTTTCTGTAACTCTTCTTAAGCTGCAAGGCAGCGCCATCTCTTCGCGTTATAGGTAACCAACAATGTCAAATTAATAGCTTTACAAATATTAAACATTTGAAAGGAGAAATAGCATTTATAGTTATTTTTTTTATTTTTAATCATGAAAGTGCTAAATGTCTAAATCGAAAGAAGTCTGCTGCCTAGTCCGCGTGGAATTTATTCTGATAAAATTTTCTTTTGATTTAAACATCTAGCAGTTACATGCTTAAAAAATAAATTAATTAACGCACACAGTAATTAAGGTACCTATGAAAAAAATGGTTGTTGGAGGTAGGTAAAGAAAGTGATTAATATTTATGTTTCTTAAATATATATCTCTATATAAAGTGTTGTCCGTTTGGTTTTCGTTATTAATGAAAAGTTTGTAACAAGTTTATAAATGGTACGCTTTTTGTATAAAAATAATATATTGGGATAAACAAAAGTAGCCATTGTAAAGAGGATCATTATCCAATAAGGTTTTTCATTGTTATACTTTTTAAATCATCGAAATCGGTTCGATCGTGGTTGACTCCGGTCGAACTGCAGAGCGTCTCCAAGCACGCTCGATCTGTGACGTCACGCGCCTGAGCGCTAGAGCTCTGTGACGTCAAAACTACCACGACGCCAACCGAAAATTCGATTAGTAATTTGGTCATAACTTCGTCAATATTTGTCGTAGAACAAAAATTGAACCACTATATTTTATGGAATCCTTGGCTCTATAAATCTGCATTCTTAACAAAAATCGTTACGGATCCTCATTGAAAATTTCATAAGAAGTATGACTTAAAAACTAATTTCTCGAAATGTGATGCTAATTGCTATAATAACTGATAAAACCAACCAAATGTCATATTTTGATTCCTTTGTTTTTCTATAGATAGATTGTTAAGTGCAGTGTTAATAATATACGTATAATGCGATTCAAATAAGAATAGGAAAGCTCTATCTGTCAAATGTCGCTTGAAAAGTACGGCCTGCAAAAAAAATCTTGGAACCCTTTTTTAGCACTCCGCTAATTCAAGAATAAAAACCAAACATTTGTAAACAAACAAATAACGAATATATTTTTTTCACTTATTGAGCTTTGGCCATGAATGGTTGATAACCTAAATCGTCAACCAAATGTCACTTTAAGTTGCGTTCAGAAACTCGATTTCAAACTTTCGTTTACATAAAGGATGCATGCTCGTATGTGACCTAGTAATAGTGCATGATTATTCAGAACTACTCCAGCGGTAATGCAGGAATGAGCGGAATAGAAGAGCTAGATTCTGACTAATGTTTTTTCTCACAGTCTTAATAAATAAATATTATTAAAAATCGGTGTTTTTTTTTTCAATATGAGTAATTAAATGTTATTAAAAAATCTGATGTTTTTTCTCACTTAATCTTAGTAAATAAGTTTTATTAAATAAAAACTTATTTTTGCTCACTCTACCTATTTGGTTTGAACTGACATCAGAATATGGCGCCCAGTCGGTCCTATTCTTAGTTGAAACGCATTATAAATAAACATTCAATCGAGCGAGCGAGACGGAACTGTGTTAGCCTAGTTCTGCCTCGCTCGCTCGACGCAGCGCGAGCGACTGCCTTTTTTTTCTCTCTGCAAACGGCTGAACTGTATTTTTGTCCTTTTCTTCACAACAAATAGCGAATAAGTAAATAACATTCACGACAAACAGATTTTTAAGAAAAAAATTTTTTTTTGTAGTTTTACGAATGAAAAGTGTTGACGTAGAATTTGTTATTTGGTCTTGAACTATTTTTGTTCTTTATAAAAACATCGAAGGCATTGTTTTATCTTTATCACACAGAATACACGCAAATTTTCTTCCCTTCCTCTAGCCTTCGCCGTTTCAATTCAAATTAATAATGATTTTATGTCAGTTTCTTTCCAACTACAGAGCGAGTGAGTGAAGTAGTAGTACACAACTACAAAATGAATAACTTGACTCACTAGACGCTAGCAAACGTGTCAATAAATGCATCAATCTCTGAGCATTAACAAGTTGTGACTTGATTAGTTCAAAGAAAACAAACTTTAAGAGATATCGAAACCGCACGAAACCTTTACTAAAAACCGGTATTAAGCTTTATTTACCGGTATTTTCGAAACCGGTTACAAGCCCTGGTAAGTTGTATTGTTTTTCTTAATTGACGGGCGAGGTGTAGCGAGTGTAGTAAATATAAATCAATATTTGCATATTCCTTTTTTCCCCATATATAAGTTCATGTAGAGCAATAATAAAGCTTATAACCGCAATCAGTCTATCATTCGTTGTGCCCACAACAACCATCATCGCAGGTACCTAAGAAGCACCATTACTCAAAAGGTTATGGAAAGATTGAAGGGAAAATAACGATATTTTCAGTGACCGTCAATATGTTTTCCAACGGGGACGGATCTTCTTGTATATGTGATGCAGTCATTACAGCGGCGAGGCCATCGAGAAACTTTAAAAAAAGATGTGAGCTGTACTCGCCGTTAATATTGATACCCAATCCAGACCAGATATGACACCCCCTGCCTTACAACTATGCGTAGCTTATGGGATTGGTCTTCCGGTCCTGGAACTTAGTACTTCGTTATATCGGCAATCAAATCGACATCGTTGAGTAGCGTCCAGGTATCTAAAAAAAACGACGGGTTGCACTCCGGGAGTGCCGGCAGAAGTGAAAACTTGAATATTAACGTTGTGCATTTCTGATATTTTGGAATGGTAAGGGAATAATTTTGCACGAATTGTTTTAATTATCCGTGTAAGAGTACTATCATTTATGTGGTAGAATACAATATTTATTCATTGCGCTATCATACACAAACATGACAATTTATATTAAAAAAGTTTAGCTCTCAGAGAAATCAACTTACATGAATCACATTTAAGCGAACTTAGCGACATCTATTGTAAAAAAATCAATTTACATGAATCACATTTAAGCACACCTAGCGACATCCATTCTAAACAAAATGCATTTTCTTCGCAATAAAGCTGCCACCTGGACGTCCTAGATAGAGACTTAATATTATAATACGATAAAATAAAATAACACTATGTTTCCTCCAATATATTGAAAGTCAACAACCTTTCCAATTTTATTGTTTTCGTCTTACGAATTTTCGACACGTGCCCTAATCACGTGTCCGGACCCGATCAGGTGTGTCCTGACGCGAGTATAAAATTTTTTACCCATACAAAAAAAAGTGTACAACGCCGCTAAAGAAATTTTCACTTCAAAAATCTCGCGACTTCCCCGAGAAACTGGCTTCGAGGTAACGATTTCGTCATCCGCAGTCTTAGGTTTCGTCAGATGGGTGGGACCGCTCTAATTGCTGAGCGAACACTTTCGACCCCCTGTTTTGCTCCATCGCAGCCTCGATGGTGTAGGTATTATACCAACGGAGGTCGCGTCGCATCAGCTTCCTGATGTTTGGGTTTCCGGTCGACCTATTTGACGAAGACAACGTGGATAGCATCTATCGCCTTTCCTTCATGAGCACAAATCTCGAAGAAAGTTTGGACACCTTATTCTTGCGCTTAAGTGGAAACCTTTCCTTCATGAGCACAAGTCTCGAAGAAAGTTTGGACACCTTATTCTTGCACTTAAGTGGAAACCCCTACGGGACACTTTATCAGCGTCTGTATCACTGCGTCCGTCTTCTCGTCAAACTTGCCAGTGGTTGCCAACACGTCGAAGCGGTTTTGAAGTCCCAGTTGGAATTTTTCAGAACCCAGAGCGATATGGAGCGGCGTAGGTTGGAGAGTAGGCTTCACCAGGTGAAACCTCTCAGCTTTAAAGTTAATGTTCATTAGAGCATTGAACCCGTTGATCTCTGAGACATCTTTAAATATATGCTTCTTATCAGTCACGATGAATTCTATCTCGATCCTGGTCACGTTATCAGGGCTTCGCCTCGTCCACCTTTTCTTGCCCTTTGGGGCTTAGTCTTAAAGAATGAATTCATCAAACAGAGCTCCAGCAATTCGAGGAAGTTGACAAGCATTTGCCTCTAGTGATTTCTGCTCCCCATATCGATTTCCGATTTTCGAATCGCCGCTTGCTTGTACTTCCACTTTGGCATTGAAGTCCCCCATCACAACGATGTAGTGAGCCTTGGTGGTGTTCATAATGGCCTTGGCAATATCAGGCATCATTGCCTCGGCAGTTTGGTCGGAGTGAGTCGAGGTCGGCGCATATATCTGTACCACCTTTAGGCAGTACCTATCGGTGAGTTTGAGGAGAAGGTACGCTACCCGACCCGTGTCGACACATTACTGACTTCTACAACGCTGCTAGGAATGTTACTACAGCCCTTGACTGTAAACAAAACTATTAAGTTTGGCTACTACACCTTTCCGCATTTGGAGTTTTGATATTGGACATTATGACAATCTGACTTTTTACACAATTTGTTGTTTCGGTAACTTGACATTATGGTAAATAGACATTTTAACAATTTGTTATTTTGACACCAGGATATTATTACAACTGGGCATATTAACAATATTGGCTATTTTTCCTTGTCATTTTAACACACTGGACATTCTGACACTTGGCCCAACATACCCCAGACGGTACAAACGGTATAACCAAAGAGATTTTATTACAAGTTCATAAATACTATAATGCGCAAAAGACTGTTTCCCCAACCTATTATATAAACAGATACAGACATTGGCCCACATGGATTCGAAACAAGGACTTGAGTAGGTGAAATCTCAAAAAAACCAGTACATACCACACACCATGGAAGTTGATAAATGTATACCTGTATCAATTTGATCTTGCATCTCTTCAAGATCCGTTTCAGACTTCACTTTCTCAATATTGAAAGTAGGCTCCAGTTTAACCTCTTCTGGGTCTAAAAGCATAATACTCTCCATCGGGGACACGGAAAACTTCCAAGAGATATCAGATTGTTGCTTCACAGTCATATTTAGTGGGTCCATGGTGATCTATAAAAAGATTAATTAGACTTAGCCATATTACAAAATAGTGACTAAAATAAAACCCCAGTTAGTCTAGAAATTATATTGTCACTTTGCTGTACGTAAAATATCTACAAGCAGCGCAAGCGCTTTGGGTCGACGATCTCGACTATAGGTGAAATGACGTCAGAGTCTCTGACTCGACTCTCACGACATTTCACCTATAGTCGAGATCGTTGACCCAAAGCCCAAATCGTTCCGCACTAAAATACGTAAACTTAAATAATGTGTTTGTTTCTCAATAATTTATTGACAGATTTCAAATCATTTTTCACTGGTATATTGGTTTCGATCTAGATTTCAATTTTATTAAGTTAAATATAGCTTTATCAACATCATGAAACTTCTCCATTCATTGCGTACTCAGAGACCGGTGGTTAAGGGTTAAACCAAAAATGACCAGGGGGCCAATCGCCTAACTGGATTGCTTTGGAAAACGCTATCGCTTACGATTTCATTTTGTTATTTCTAGCCCCCTGAGGTTTTCAAATGCCTCGCGCTCTTTTTTTTTCTTTTGCATTGGTAATAACAATGTTAAAGAAAATGAGCGTGAGGTATTTCGGCGGTTAGAAATAACAAAATGAAATCGTAAGCGATAGCGTTTTCCAAAGCAATCTGGTTAGGCGATTGGCCCACTGAAACCATGTTTTGTACAAAATTTTAATCTACACTAACACTATCAGCTTTCTGTTATTTCTTTCCTCTCATCGTACATGTTCCCCGACATGTACGATCCGACTCGTACAGTTTTTGTCTAGTTTTCACTTTACGCCACATTCGATAATTTAGGTCACGCTCACATCAGTCTGCCATCGGTATTCATTCTAGCCGCGCATACTCATATCAAGGAGCTCGATGGCGCAGGTGGTTAGCGCGTTCGGCTGCGATGGTTGAAGTTAAGCAACTTTCGCAGTGGTCGGTCATTGGATGGGTGACCAAAAACATCTATCTCGAGTTCCTCCGTGCTTCGGAAGGCACGTTAAGCCGTTGGTCCCGGCTGCATCTGCAGTCGTTATCACCCGCCAATCCGCACTGGGCCCGCGTGGTGGGTCATGGCCCAATCTCCCTATTCCATCCATAGGGAAGGCCTGTGCCCCAGCAGTGGGGACATTAATAGGCTGATGATGATGATGATGATGATACTCATATCAATTATCATATCATTCATATAAGTTTAATTTGTTTAATATATCATTTATTTTATAACAGGACTTTCACTTTATCAACTCTATCATAAAAATGTGTGCAAACTGTACTTAAATGTGGTAGTGTATTCACAATATTTATACATGCGAAAGAAGTAGAAGCAATTAATAATTTCTGTTTTTCTCAATTTAGCCACCAACAGTACTTTGTACTGAAATGTTTGTGTACGTGGAGTGGGGCAAATGCTTGTTGCTGAATTTTTACGTCAGTCATGGATGTTTATTAAATGTATTCTATCAGACACCCTATTATCCTATTGGTGTATTTGTTAGAAATATTTATTTATTATGTTTTTTAAAAAGTTTTTACCTCGGACTCTCTATTTTGGAATTCCGTAATTATATTTGGATTACCAAGTTGAGCTTCTATTTCCGTTGCCATGTTTCCTTCGGTTATTATTGACGGCTTGAGTTGGTTTTCTTTGTCCATTTTATTGGTCAGCTTACATTTCTTGGGCGGTTTCGCTCCTGTAAGTAAATATTACTTCTTTATATTTAAATGTGCATTAAAAACTAAATATGTGTAAGTATTTCTGTTGGAACTAATAACATAGATTAAAAATACTACTTATACATGAACTCTGATAATATACACTCCTTCTAGCAGGAGCAGTCGTGTAATGAGGAAGATAACGTAAATCTCATTACAGATGGCGTTGTGTTCGTCTGACCCAAGGAAGTTATATACCTACTGCTGCGGCGCAATGATCCATAGTGGATCTAGTCAATAACGTGAGATCGTTTTCTAAAACTTGTCAAATACCCTATTCAAAAATTCAGAAATCCGTGATAAATACTGAAATTCCACTTACACTGTCCGTAAATATCCCCACGGTCCCTAAAACTCCTTCACATTGTCCAGTCCGCAAGCCTACATGTTTTGCCCCTTCAACCAACTCACCAAAATACTTTTGGTGATGATACATGGCTTGATTTAATCCTAACCTCTAATTCCTCTCTTGTTCCGTCCCATGGACAACATATCGCTCCTGGCTTCTCTTATCATGACCTTATCTTCCTTTCGTATCTCTTTAAACCCCCCAAATCCATTCCCAAGGTTCTGCACAGGCGCTCCTTCGCACGTATGGACTTAGTCAAACTACAAAAGCATGTTTCTGAGATCAACTGGGACTCTTTGATTCTAGCTTGCACTGTAGATGACAAAGTCAAAATATTTAATGACACTCTGCTTAGTATTTACGATGTCCATGCGCCCATCAGAAAAGTGAGGCTGAAGCGGCAACCAGCCTCTTGAATCGTACCTATCGCAACTACAGAAGGGATCGTTCTGATGAAAAGAGGAAGCTTTACAAAGCTGCTAGAAACCGGTGTAATCAGATGATACGTAATGCCAAACGCCGATATATTCTCAATAACCTTTCCTCGTCATCTTCTGCTGATATCTGGAAGTTCCTCGGAACGCTAGGTATCGGTAAATCGCGACATTTAGACCTATCTAATACTATAAACCTTAACGATCTCAATCGCCATTACATTACTTCTCAGAATTTTAGATATTCATATACAGAATCCACTATTGCTGCTATAAATGGTTTAACGCATCCTAATGTTGACCCTGTCTATTTTTGACCAGTCACACCGGCAGAGATCAAAAAGATAATACTTTCTATTAAATCTAATGCAATGGGATATGATGATATAAGCCGTCGCATGATCGTCACTATTCTTGATTATTTTCTTTCCGCTATAACACACATTATCAATTTCTCCCTTGACACTGGTACTTTCCCTATTCTATGGCGTAAAGCCTATCCCGGCCCCTACCCAAAGTTAATAATCCAACGCAACCTAATCAGTTTCGACCGATTTCCATCCTCCCCTTCATGTCAAAAGTGCTTGAAGCCTGCGTTCACAAACAATTCTCCCAATTTATTCACAATAACTCCCTAATGAACCCTCTCCAATCTGGATTTAGGCCTGGACATAGCACTGTTTCCGGACTCCTTAAAGTAACTGGCGATGTTAGGGCGGGGATGGAGAACGGTAAAGTTACTTGCTTGGTTCTTATCGATTTTTCCAATGCTTTTAATACTGTCAGTCACGACATTCTCCTTGCCATATTATCCCATCTTAAGGTCTCTGACGAAGTGTTGACTTGATTTTCATCTTATCTTCGGGAACGCCAGCAGATGGTGCAGTCTGGGGAATCATCCTCATCCTGGCTCAATTTAAAAACTGGTGTTTCCCAAGGCGGTATTCTTTCTCCTCTTCTTTTTTCAACTTTTATTGATTTTATCACTCACAAACTTCAGTGTTCGTATCATCTATATGCTGACGACCTACAACTATACACCGAAGCAAGTATTGACGAATTAAACAATGCCATTGATGCGATAAAGAGGGAATTAAACGCTATCAAAACATGGTCAGGCAATTTTGGTGTCACTGTCAATGCTGGTAAATGTCAAGCTATATTAATCGGTGGATCAAGAATAATGAGCAGAATTGACAACAGCAATCTTGGGTCTTACTTCTATGACGGCACTTTGATACCTTTTAGTAATGTTGCAAAAAATCTCGGATTGTATGTCGACTCAAATTACAAATGGCAGGATCAGGTTGGTAGTCTGTCAAAAGGTAACTGGTACATTGCGTGCTCTCTACCGCTTGAAAAATTTTTTGACGATCAACATCAAGGCAATGCTTGTGCAAACTTTGATTTTTCCCATAATCGACTATGGTGATGTATGCTACCTCGATCTGAATGCAGATCTACTCAATAAACTTGATCGACTTCAGAATAACTGCATTCGATTTGTTTTCAATCTTAGAAAATATGACCATGTGTCCGCATAACGATCTCATCTAAAATGGATGCCTATTAGGCAGCGCAGAAGTATGCGGGCTCTGGCCACTCTGTTCTCCTTGCTGGAATCTCCAAATGCCCCTTTCTATCTCACTTCCCAATTTCAGTACTTATGTACCTCTCATGCTAAAAATCTTCGATCTTCTTCTAACCGCTTACTTATTGTTCCATCTCATCACTCTGATATGATTCACCCGTCCTTCTTCGTCAAAACTATACTTCTGTGGAACGAACTCCCCCTAGATCTTAGAATGTCCACTAACAAAATTAGCTTCAAAACCAAGTTACGAAGCTTTTTCAGGAACAAGCAGTCTAGCTTAAACGTTAGTCGTCATTATTATGTATATTTATATATGTATGTATGTATATGTATAGTTATTTATATGTAAGTAATTATTTATGTATGTGTGATTATATATATGACTGCTTCATATTTATACATGTTATTCTTTCTATAATTTCCATGTAAGTTGTGCACCCTACCACTAATTTATCCATAACACCCTATGGTTGACTGGTAGAGAATGCCTATGGCATTAAGTCCGCCTTTGTACACTTGTGCATTAAGTATAAATAAATAAATACCACATTATTTGGCAAATACTGATGAACCACATTATTAGGTATTTTTTCCTTGTTATTTTCACAAACGACATTCTGACACTTGGCCCAACATATATCAGACAGTACAAATGGTATAGTCAAAGAGATTTTAAGTTCATAAATACTAAATGCACAAAATACTCTTTCGCCAACCTATTATATAAACAGATACAAACATTTGCCCCCCATGAGTTCGAACCCAAGACTTCTGAAGAGGTGACACCTCATAAAACCGGTGTACATACCACTCACACCATGGAGGTAGACAAATGAATACCTGTTTCATTTTGATCTTGCATCTCCTCAACATCCGTTTCAGACTTGACAATATTGAAAGTAGGCTCCAGTTTAACCTTTTCTGGGTATAAAGGCATAATAATCTCGATGGGTGACATGGAAAACTTCCATGAGATATCAGGTTGTTGCTTCACAATCATATTTAGTGTATCTATGGTGATCTGTAAAAAAACTTCTCACATTAATTAAGTAGAAGAATTTTGCAATGGTTAATTAGACTCAGCCATATTACAAAATAGTGACTAAAATTAAACCCCAGTTAGGTTAAAAATGATATTGTCACTTTGTTTTTGCTAAAGTGAGAGAGAGAAGAAATTACGTTTTTAAACCAAAAATGACCTGAATCCATGTTTTGTACAAAGCAGTAAGTACATTACATGTGTTACTATTTCCTGTATTCACAGTATTTATACATGCAAAAGAAGTAGAAGCAATTAACATTATTAAAAATTTCTGTTTTTCTCAATTCAGCCACCAACAGTACTTTCTACTCGAGGACTCTACGACCTATGTGGCCGAGTGGTTAGTACGCCAGGTTTCAAGAAAGTTATTACTCTGCTAAAAATTAATTATTAGGTAGAGGAGGTAGCTCTCGGGGAGGTTGGGAGGTTATCTATTATTACCTATTGTGTTTGATTATTGTTTGAATAGCACATCCATTACACGAACTTATATGGTAAAAGATCTCGGTATACTCTTTGATGATAAATTAACTTTTTCTACTAGCAAAAATAGTCAACAAAGCTTATAAGAATTTAGGGTTTATTTTGAGGATTGGCAAGCCTTTTACTGATACTCTGTTTAAAGATTTTGTACTTTGCATATTGTCATAGTATTCTTGAATATTGCTGCAATATTTGGAATCCACAATACATTACTTATAAACATGACTTAGAATCGATACAGTCAAAATTTGTTAAGCATCTTAATTACAGAAAAAGAAATGACTGTCTATAGGGAAGGATGTTGTATCCATCGTTTGGTCCCTCTTGAGAACAGGCGCACTATGCTCAATATGTCATTTCTCTATGACGTTTACAATGGGACTATAGATTGCACTGAGCTTGCTTCTTCATTTTTAACACTCTACACAGCCAATACCCGTACCAGACATACATCATTTCCTAAATGCTATAACTAAATAATGACAATCCGTAATTGGCATTAAGTTAAACTATATTGTTAAACCTGTATTATATTAAGAAAATGCTGTGGATTTTGGTCTAGAATTAAGTAAATAAATTACCGGAATCTCTCGGGCAATCCGGAAGGGTTGCGAATCCTAGGCTGGGCTAATTGGTGTGAGTGTTGGAAATATATATTTATGAAAAGTTTGTATATGTGGGGTGGGGCAAATGTTTGTTGATGATAATGAGAATTTGTACCTTAGTCATGGATGTTTATCATATGTATTCTATCAGACACCCTAGTATCCTAAAACAGAAGAGTTAAAACAGAAACATATTAACATGTTGTGTCATGTCGTGTCGACACTAACCCACAATAAATGTATGAAATTGAAGCAGCACGACACGCCACAATATGTTTATACGTTTTGGATTTACAGTGCTTACTTTGGGGCTAGGCTTATTGGTGTATTTGTAAGAAACATTTATTTATTATGTTTTTTTATCTTACCTCGGACTCGGAACTGATGAGTTGCAACAAGAGCTTGTTTGCCTTTAGTGATTTATCTATAAACTTGTGCAATTTTCTAGTCATATGATAGCAAATGTAACATAAGCATGTTGGCCATTTGTCACCCATTACAAGCTAAAACCACATACAATAATAATACAGTATAATGGTACACAATATTTTTACTACTTATATTTAAAAGGAATAAAGTGATTATATAATATCATAAAGTTCTTGAAATCAATGTAAAGAATTCATAACTGTATTTACATGCCCATTTACTGTCTTCTTTATACAGATAATTGATTCTTAAATAATGAAAATTAAAATCAGTCCAAAGCTGCTAAGGATACTGCCAGAAAGAATGGAGCATTACAAGGAAAAGAGAGAAATGAGGAGTGGATCTTAATCCCTCCTTGGAGAGGAGGAAGCTAAGATAACAATGAGATAGGATCCGAAATTATCCAGTAGAAGAAAAGTGAGGGTGAACAATGAGACATATTTTATATTTATAATGCATGCATCAGTTTTTGGTCAGGCAAGCAAGTGACATCAGTGGATTAAGGACTTTGGTTACTTTACATTTGGCTACATTTTCTGTATCAAGTGGCAGCTTGCCCCCCTTGGTAGCATATCTCAAATCCATAACAAATTTGATGAGTGCCAATGCACAGTGGACCAAAAGCATAATAAGTTTTGATTAATTATTTAATATTCAAAAGAGCCGAAAAGAATAATAATTACTTAACGAATTATTGAGACCACAACTATGGCGATTAGAGATGAGAGATCTTACCGGAACTTCAATGATATTTTCAAAAATCTTTTGAAGTGGCCCATTCAATATTGAATACATACGGCTATGGTGTGACAAGCATACTCTGCATACTTGTAAACCAGACATTATTCAATGTTTTCAGTAAAATTTTGGGATAAAATTTGGTCAGAGCGTCACCCACGGAGCTACTTGAGTAATAATTTAGGGATGCGCCGATCCGATCCGATCATTTGAAAGATCGGATCGGAAGGCATACGATCCGGTAATTTTCGGATCGGATCGAGGCCATACGATTTTTTGCCGGATCGTTACAAAACTTGAAAGATCGGATCGCTTGGATCGTATGAATCAAAACGCGGTTTGTTTACAATAAATTGGGTAGGTACTATGGAGTTCTACCCAGAATGGATAGAACCTGGGGACGTGACTCTTCAGTAAAACAACTAGACGATGGTTATTATTTTATATTATCATTCAGGCGAATATAAAGAATTTTATCTAAATACGAGAGGTTTTCTTGGTGCCTGAAGATCTACTCTTGAATGGAACCTTCTTTCAAAAGACAGACGATTCCTTATTTCAAATCTTAAAATCATGACATTAACTTTTTAATATAACTGCCAACCGTAGGCATTGCAAAAGCAAAGAGTTTACCTAAACAAGGAGGTAGTAACGTACCGGACGTTACAGTACTTACTAAGGTTTCTGTTACGAACTTTATCTTTGTTTACATTTTAACTTGGCGGCATTCTTTGCAGGTGGATCCGTTAATCTTATACATTCTATTATTATGAACAAAAGTTGTACCTGATTAGGTGTGACGATTATTGATAGATTTACCAAATAAAAATCTAAAATAATTTGTCTTATTTATTGTATCCAATCCGATCCGATTTCTTGAAGATCGGATCGACGGCATGCGATCCGATCCGCGGATCGGATCGTATCATTACGATCCGAAAAATTGGATCGACGACCCGGATCGCAATCCCTATAATAATTAGCGGTGGGCGTTTTCTTTTTTTTGTTTTTGTCAACGTTACTATAGCAACAGTGCCACAAACTTATCTGTGCCGGTGAAGATGTTGCTAGCGGTAAATAAAAATGTCACAATGCTATGGATAAATTGTAGTTCCAATTTTTGCCACCGGCACTGAAAAGTTAGTGATACTACGATACTGACATTCACTTGGCATCGATGCGATGCCGGCATCGGTACGCGGATCCGATGCGATTTATCTGATACTGATGCGCATCGATTTCACAAATATCTAAAAACGCCCATCTCCAGTAATAATGTTTTTTTTTGTTTTATTTATTCATGACCATGGATACAAGTCCTTCAGTCGTATGCATAAATACATATCCTTCTTATCTTCATTTTTTATTTACAATAGGATGTCGGTGTGACGCATTCTAATGTTTCTTGGAGTGTTTGGCACGAAATGTACCAAGTTGGTTTTTCCGATAAGCTTCTGTGAGGTAGTCAACACTACAATAAAGTTCTCACGTCCACTTGACCGCAATAGCGTATATTTTAAAGATTCGTTTAATTCTTCATTTGCGCAACCACAACCATCTGTTGTAACACAAAATTACACCAATTTTATTTCACAATATCCACTATGAACTTTAAGAATAAATAAAATAAGAAGCCAACCGCACTCGATGAAATCCCGCCAAAAACTTTGAATAATAATGTCACAGGCAGTGTTGCCAGGTCCGATGTTTAAAAATCGGGAGGCGTTATAGACAGGGCTGCCAGATCAAAAATCCGGTAATCGCTAAAACGACATAAAAAGCGCTAGTTTAAAAAAAATACGCTAGATTATGCGCTAAATTAATTTCAGTATTTCAATTTTTTAATAAATAAAAGCAGACAAAAATCAACCAAAACGTCAAAATAAATATATTTAATCTGAATTCAAAAATAATCTTCCATAGCTTAAATAGGCCCTCTTAATTAAGGCCATTCATGTATTTTTTTGTCTTACAATATTTTTCATATACACTTTTCCTATTGTTTAATTCCTATATATATCGGTTTCATACATTTAGTAGTACGGTTAGAGTGAGAACGGTGTCGACACATCGCGACACACAAGTATAGTTCTAACCGTACTTAATATATGAAACCGATACCTCTCTGACGCGTCACAACGTGCTTTATGTTCCAAGCTTATGTACTAACCTGTTATCAATTAATAAGATTACAGATAGAGGATGTACCGTTTTATTTACAAATAAAAAGACAACAGCCAGACATCCAGTTGGTGGTGTCATGTTAAAAGCAAATAAACTAAAAGATGGTTTATATTATGTCAACAATTTTGCTAGTTACAATAGGACATGCTAAAAATGCAACACCATTAAAATACAAAGTAAAATTAAGGAATGGCATGAATAATTGGGACATATCAACGAAAGTGATTTAAAACTAGCAATCAAAGAAGAAAAGCTCAATATTGGTTTAGACTTTAATTATAATGAACAGCTCGAACAATGCGAAGTTTGCATAGAAGCAAAAATGCCTTTAGAAATCGTACATAGTGATATTTGTGGACCAATGAAGGTAGAAACAGTTCAAAGTAATAAATACTTTGTAACTTTCATTGACGATCATACTAGGTACAGTCGTGTGTAAAGTCAAATACAAGACACAAAATTAAATACGTATTTTGTATCTGTATCTTAGATAATTTTATCTTAGATAAGTCACATCTCTGTTTATTTAGCATGGTCACATGCTATATATTTATTACACATTACAAGAATCATATATTAATTTATTCAATGTCTGTTACTTAGTGCGATTCAAATATGAATAGGAAAACCAATGACCTCCATCTGTCAAATGTCGCTTGAAAAGTACGGTTTGCAAAAAAACTTGGAACCCTTTTTTAGCACTCAGCTAATTCTAGAGTAAAAACCAAACATTTGTATACAAACAATAACAAATATTGAATTGAGCTTTGGCTATGAATGGTGGAAACCTAAAACCTCAACCAAATGTCACTTTACGATGCGTTCAGAAACTCGATTTAAAACTTTTGTTTACATAAGTATAGGATAGGATGGTATAGGATGCATGTTCGTATGTGACCTAGTAATAGTGCATGATTATTCATAACTACTACAGCGATAATGCAGAGATGAGCGGAATTGAAAATCTACATTCTGATTAATGATTTTTCTCACAGTCTTAATAAATAAATATTATTAAAAATCGGTTGCTTTTTTTTACTAAAACTAAAAATATCTCATGTTTTACTCACTTAATCTTAGTAAATAGGTTTTATTAAATAAAAACTTTTTTGCTCACTCTACCTAAATCGGAATTGACAGCTGTGACGTCACAATATGGCGCCCAGTCGGTCCTATTCTTAGTTGAATCGCATTATATAAATATAAAAAAATTCTAAGAGTTTATGATAACATGAGATACTATTGCTTGATTACGCTACCAGTGTCTTGATCACATAAAATGTTTAAAAAAAATGGCTACTTAAGTTTTAGGTTTGTTAATGACATTCTCCCGCTCACTACACCATCCAACCCACATTATCATCTGAACTAAGCTAGGTAGATCATAGTAAACTTTCACCAATCTTCTACCAAGTTGCAGCATCACATGTTTATTTCAAAAGTTTTAATTTCAGTATTTGTGCCTACTGCTAGTACTTCCATGTATGAACCACAATCCTGTGAGAATCTCTCATCATCATCATCAGCCTATTAATGTCCCCACTGCTGGGGCACAGGCCTTCCCCATGGATGGAATAGGGAGATAGGGCCATGACCCACCACGCGGGCCCAGTGCGGATTGGTGGGTGCTAACGACTGCAGATGCAACCGGGACCAACGGCTTAACGTGCCTTCCGAAGCACGGAGGAGCTCGAGATAGTAAATTTTTGGTCACCCATCCAAAGACCGACCAATGCGAAAGTTGCTTAACTTCAACGATCGCCGCCGAACGCGCTAACCAGTTGCGCCATCGAGCTCCTCAGCTCAGCTCAGAGAATCTCTCAGCAGAAGTGAAAACTTGAATATTAACGTTGTGCATTTTTGATATTTTGGAATGGTTAATAATTTTACACGAATTGCTTTAATTATCAGTATAAAAGTACTATCATTTATGTGGTAGAGTACAATATTGTGCTATCACGACACCTTTTACGACAACAAGCTTTTATCGCCGACCTTTCAATTATACAGTTTTATGCAGTGTGAATTTTTTTATGTTTGCTAAAATCACTACTTGCGGTAAATCTTTTATCGCAGATGTTACATTTATAAGGTTTATCTCCGGTGTGAATTCTTTGATGTGTGGATAAATGATAGCTTTTAGTAAATCTCTTATCACAGACTTCACATTTATACGGTTTCTCTCCCGTGTGAATCCTTTGATGTTTGGATAAACTACGTGCTATAGCAAATCTTTTATCGCAGATGTTACATTTATAAGGTTTCTCTCCCGTGTGAATTCTTTGATGTTCGAATAAACCACTACTTCTTGTAAATCTTTTATCGCAGACGTTACATTTATAAGGTTTCTCTCCCGTATGAATCCTTTGATGTTTGTATAAACTACTAGTTTCAGTAAATCTTTTATCGCAGATGTTACATTTATAAGGTTTCTCTTCTGTATGAATCCTTTCATGCCTGGATAAATCACAACTTCTAGTAAATCTTTTATCACAGATACTACAGTTGTACTGTCTTTCTTTCTGGTCAGTCTTCCTATCGCGTTTATTTATCGAATGCCCATCGTTGCTTGTCATTGCAGAACCTATACTGTCCTCTAATTTGTATTTATCATTTAAGTATATTTCACGAGTGTTAGTATAATTTTGGTTAGTTATGGGGTTAATTTCAGAATGTGATTTAGTTACATGACTTTCTAATTCGTTTTTACAATAAAACATATTTTTACAAATATCAGATATAAAAGTTTCTCTATGATTTGTGACTTCGTCGTGTTTGTTCTTCACCATGTTGTCGTTTTCGTAGCTATATTTTGTGAAAATATTTGGAACACTAATTTGAGCTCGGTTTTCTATTCCCGTGTTTTCTTCGGTTGATCTTGATGCTGTTGGAGGCATGAGTTGGTTGTTCTCGCTAATTTCACTGGTCAGCTTACATTTCTTGGGTCGTTTTGCTTCTGAAAATATTACTTTTTATTATAATCTTCATCTGGCTTATGATTTGAGGGGAACATCAAAAATTTGTAAGTATTTCTGTTGGAACTAACACCAAAATAGTATAAATATCATTAATTAATTCTGAAATCATTACACCTCTTTGGAAGACGTATAATGAGAAAGAAAATGCATATCCCATTACAGATGGCGTTGTATACGTCCGAGTCCAAGGAAGTTATATACTTAACAGTAACAGTAATGCTTACTAGCTATTCAATCAAGAAATATTTCAAACCTTATCCAACGAATTAGAAATGATATGGAAGCATAACTCTTCAACAAAAGCGGCTAAAATATGGTTTGAAAATTATAAAGCTAAACTTCAATACTAACGCGACACGCACACAGAAAAAAAAATACTTTGACAAATCAAACATCTGCAAATGAATTCGGCTATCCATTCATTGGGTACAACGATATTAAATACCCTAGATACACCAACACGAACGAAATCGTGTCCGAAACCTGTCCAAAAGGTACATTGCACGATTCACGGCGCTCCGTAAGATGATCGCGTTGTAAAAAAACAATATAAAGCATTATCAAAACAATTAAAGTCACCTTTAATGCATATTATATAAGCTCATAATTAAAACGCATGCGATAGATTTTAATGAAAGGAAAAACGAGTAGCGACATAATCTATATATATAAAACTCAAAGGTGACCGACTGACTGACATAGTGATCTATCAACGCACAGCCCAAACCACTGGACGGATCGGGCTGAAATTTGGCATGCAGGAAATTTCGAAGTCAATCAGTGTGCAGCCACGAGCATATCTACTATATGTAGTAGATATTTTTTTGCTGATTCCGTGCAGTTAATGCGGTATCTAGGGTGCATGTAATCAATTGCTTGAGTTATCCTCCTGACTTTCCAGGTGTCCACATAGGACACCCTACATATAATGAATAGTCATTATTTTCAAATAATGAATATAATGAAAAGGACAAGTATAATTTTCTAGAAATATATTAGGTTGGGGAAATTTTTTGACGCATTTTATATGAATATTCATTTTTTTTTATAAAGTTTATTTACTTTATAGCCATTAACGGGATTGTTACCATGTAACTTGTTTTTTGTGAGTCTCCGATATTTCAGCACTGTTGCAAGCGCCATGATCATGGAGTAACTCAGTTAGTTAAAAGCTATAATGTGAGTGATCATGAAAAAAACAAGTTTATTTACATTTAGCTTAAGTATGTAGGTGCCATTTTATTCGCTAACTTTTTGCCATCTTGTAGGTAAGGCTAAGGACATGATCTCGTGGCTACAGACATGTTGGGGCTTCTGATAAAAAAAAACGTCGACAAGTGTTTCGGCAGGACTCGGGTTATGTTATCCTGACACTGCTTAAAGAATTCTGAAGTGACAGAAACAGGTGGAAATCTGAAGGTGCAAGGTAAGGACTAAACGTCGAACCTAGTAACATCTCCCCGTCAAACTCGCAACACTGAAAAAGGTATGTTTTCGAAGTCTTGGGAATGTAACTACAGCCCTTGACTGTAAACAAAACTATTAAGTTTGACAATTAGACTTTTTTATTTTTTATTTCTGTAACTGGACATTGTGGCTACTACACCTTTCGGCGTTTGGGGTTTTGATATTGGACATTCTGACAATCCAACTTTTTACACAATTTGTTGTATTGGTAACTTGTCATTATGGCAAATAGACATTTTAGCAATTAGTTGTTTTGACACCTGGATATTATGATAACTGGGAATTAGCAATTGTGTATCTTTTTCCTTGTCATTTTGACAATCTGGACATTCTGACACTTGGCCCAACATACCCCAGACGGTACAAATGTTATAGCCAAAGAGATTTTATTACAAATACTATATATAATGCACAAAACACTGTTTCCCCAACCTATTATATAAACAGATACAGACATTTGCCCCACATGGATTCGAACCCAGGACTTCTGATTAGGTGACACCTCAAAAAACCGGTGTACAAACCACTCACACCATGGAAGTTGATAAATGAATACCTGTATTAATATAATCTTGCATCTCCTCAACATCCGTTTCAGACTTCACTATCTCAATATTGAAAGTAGACTCCAGTTTAACCTCTTCTGGGTCTAAAAGCATAATACTCTCCATCGGGGACATGGAAAACTTCCAAGAGATATCAGGTTCTTGCTTCACAGTCATATTTAGTGGGTCCATGGTGATCTATAAAAAGATTAATTAGACTTAGCCATATTATAAACAGTGACTGAAATAAAACCCCAGTTAGTCTAAAAATTATATTGTCACTTTGTTTTTGCTAAAGTGAGAGAGAGAAAAAACATTAGGTTTCAACCCTTTACCTAACACCTATTATTATTCTTTAACCACCTATGTGTGGTCACAGAGACCGCTGCCAAATACTTTTACTTGTCCAGAGCAAACATGCACAATTTTTTATTCGTCAAGCATAAGTTGGAAATTATGTGATGCCTAGAAAAGGTACATGGACGCTGGCAACATCACAACAAGCAAACATAGAAAAATGATAGTACTAAAATGAAGAAGTTTCCATTTTTTTAAATAAATGTTAAACCAAAAATGACCTGAATCCATGTTTTGTACAAAACTGTATATTACATGTGTTACTGTATTCACAGTATTTATACATGCGAAAGAAGTTAAAGCAAATGTCATTATTAAAAATTTCTGTTTTTCTCAATTTAGCCACCAACAGTACTTTCTACTGAGATGTTTGTGTATGTGGGGTAGGGCTAGTGTTGCCAGGTCCGATTTTGTTTTAAATCGGTACATGAGGTCAAAACAATCGGGATTTTGGATTGCAGATCGGGACAATAAACAAAAAACAAGGGGTTTTTATGTCTGGGTTTAATTTATTTATTTATATTTGTTTTAAACTATTAGTGCAAGTATAGTATTATATTAATTACCTAAATATTTTTTTTTGATTATCGGGACATTTAGCGTCCTGATCAGCTACAAATCGGAACGCGTCCCCAGACCCCTGAAAATCGGGACACCTGGCAACACTAGGTGGGGCAAATGTTTGTCGATGATAATGAGAATATTTACCTCAGTCATGGATGTTTATTATATGTATTTTATCAGCTATGAGGAGCTCGATAGCGAAAGTGGATAGCGCGTTAGGCTGCGATCGTTGAATTTAAGCAACTTTCGCAGTGGTCGGTCATTGGATGGGTGACCAAAAATCTTCTATCTCGAGTTCCTCCGTGCTTCAGAAGGCACGTTAAGCCGTTGGTCCCGGCTGCATCTGCAGTCGTTAGCACCCGCCAATCCGCACTGGGCCCGCGCGGTGGGTCATGGCCCAATCTCCATCCATAGGGAAGGTCTGTGCCCCAGCAGTGGGGACATTAATAGGCTGATGATGATGATGATTCTATCAGACACCCTAATATCCTATTGGTGTATTTGTTAGAAATATTTATTTATTATGTTTTTTTAAAAAGTTCTTACCACGGAATCTTTATTTTGGAATTCTGTAATTATATTTGGATTACCAAGTTGAGCTTCTATTTCCGTTGCCATGTTTCCTTCGGTTTTTATTGACGCTATTGGGGGCTTGAGTTGGTTTTCCTTGTTCATTTTATTGGCAGGCAGCTTATGTTTCACTCCTGTAAGTAAATATTACTTTCCTTATAATAAATCATTATCAGGCTTATATTTAAATCGGCATTAAAAACTAAAAATGTCTAAGTATTTCTGTTGGAACTAACAACATATAGTAAAAATACTATACATAAACTCTGATAATATTACACTCCTTTGAGCAGCAGCAGTCGTGTAATGAGGAAGATAACGTAAATCCCATTACAGATGGCGTTGTGTTCGTCTGACCCAAGGAAGTTATACCTTAACTGTAACAGGAATGCTTACTTGCTGATCAATAAAGAAATAATTAAAGGTTATCAAAATTATTTCAGGTCTGCTTTCTATTAAATTGAATTTTAAAATTGGACGATTATTAGGACCCGTCACTTTTTTGTTTAATCCAACGATATTTAATACCTTAGATACACCTGTGGCACATCACTAAGCGTCGTCGTGCCCTCATCTCTAACAGCGGCTACGTGACGAACGCGTATGCCGCGTCCTGGTGAGTTCCTTCATTCTAATAACTCCCAGTTACCTCAGCCATCAGACTTTGTATCAAATCTGCGCATTCATATGTCACGCTTGAAGCCAGTGCCAGCATCGCGACATGGTCAGAAAACCATTTTTGTCCACCAAGACTTACCAACAGCACAGTACGTATTCCTCAGAAAGGATGCTTTACGTGGTTCTTTGGAAGCTCCATATAGTGGTCCTCATAAAGTTTTGAAACGGACAAAGAAAACAGTAACTGTTGAATTGAATAGAGGACCGGTTACCGTTTCAATAGACAGAACCAAACCAGCATTCGTTCTGACGGAAGCGAAGAATGCACCACCAACTAATCCTGCAAATCGCCCTGAGCCCGAACCTGTCAAAACTACTCGTTCGGGGCGATATGTTAAATTCCCTCATTATTTTTCCGCAGGATTTTGATTCTCCCAGGGGGGTGGTGTGGCACATCACTACGCGTCGTCGTGCCCTCATCACTAACAGCGGCTACGTCACGAACGCGTATGTCGCGGGGCGCGGTTTGCGGGAGACGCGGACCGGCCTGGAACCTGCTCCCAGTCACTTGGCCGGCAGCGCAGTGTGCTACGAATCGCCTCGCACACAACTCCACGTCTCTCGTCCTTCCGTCTTTTCCAATACAATTATTGTTGATATCTCGATTATTATTGTTAGTATACGAATTGTATTTCTTCTACGGTGTTTCACTTCGTATCCGCTCGCTATTTGTAGGGATAGTAACATTACATCCTCACACCAACACGTACAAAATCATGCCCGAAACCTGTCCAAAAGGTACATTGACCGATCCACGGATATCGGTAAGATGATCGCGTAGTCAAAATCAATATAAGGCATTATTTAAATATTGAAAGTAACCTATAATACATACTATATAAGGTCTTAAATAAAACGCATGCGTCAAGGACTTCCTGACAATTCGAAATGCAAGCTCGTAAAATTTTATGACTTATTGCTATATGCGGAAGAATTTAGACCTAAGTTCTTTGAATCTACGCGCAATTCTGAACGCGCTGTTAGCAATATAGCAGGCAAGGACTGCGAGGAAAAGAGACGGCTATATGGCGACGTATAACCGACCATGCATTTGAATATCACAAATATTTTATATTAAATCAGTTTATAGTAAGTATTAGATCAAAATTTACTTCAAATGCGTTAAATTAACAAACGTTGACTAGATACCTGTCGAAAAAACGACACTTTTCGTACTCTAAGTATTATTTTCGCATTTTCTGGCGGAGCTCTGTGGCATCTTGCCTTTGTAACGGTCCGCGCGTGACTGTGAACCAAGAAGTGCTTGATTGGAGTTCAATCACTTCTTGATTGGGCCACATTTTGAGCGCTTGTGGTGTATCTAGGGTATTTAATATTTTTGTTAGTTACACTTAATATACGTAAATACCACTATTTGTATTTATCCTGATACTGCCTAAAGAATTCTGAAGACACAGAAACAGGTCGAAAGCAGAGGCGAGGTAAGGACTATGCGTCGAACCCACTAACACCTCCCAGTCAAACACTCAACACTGAAAAAGGTATATTTTCGAAATCTTTGGAATGCAACTACAGCCCTTGACTGTAAACAAAAATATTAAGATTGACAATTAGACTTATTAAAAATTTGTAATTTTAGTAACTGGACATTAAAGCTACTACATCTTGTAATATTAAAAAATAAAAAGTTTGTTTTGAAAATTACTTTTAATGGATAGGTCGAAATTAATGAAAAAAAGAATACTCGGGCGCCAGACCTACCACATTATTATACCATATTAGCCGGGAAAGCATTGAACTATTAATCGCAAAAGGGGAATTAATGCAAATCCATTCTCATTTTGGGTTGTCTATATATTGAAATTTAGTACAAAATTACTGGTCCGAAAGAATTACTGCTAAATTTTGAAACTAAGACTAAGATGTAAGTGAAAATGTTACCTTTAATATGGGGGCCGAAACACAACTATAAATTTAGGAAATTACCGACCTTGTTGCATCTTTGGAGTTAAATATGTCTGGTTTTGCAAGTATGTAGGGGATGGCCGTTTTTAGGTCCCGTGGGTTCACCTCCACCTCACGGGAAACATCGTGATTTGGATTCGATTTCCAAATAAAATTTCAAGTATAAAAAAAAACACTTTTCGCTGAAAATAAATATTCCTCAGATTAGCACATGGCTCACAACAAAGGAAAAAATGTAAAACTAAGGAAAACTCTAAGATTCTTACCGTTTTTTAAACAAATTAAGCTTGGAATGCGATACCCGCCATTCCGAACAAAAGGTGCAAAATGTTACATCTGTAAAAGAAATGAATTCTAAGGTAAATCATTGAAATATGTGAATTAAAACACTTTTCGAATTTGGAAAAACACTTACCATCAAAAACAATCGAAAATCCAATGGATTATCAACTTAAATAATGAGATTAATTAACCTGCATGTTGTACGTTAAAATTTTGGTCGTGAAGTGAAGTGACAGTTCTTTTCTTAGTTTCTCTTGGCGGTAGGCAAAGAGAACAACGTCCATTCAGCCTACTGCTCGATAAAGGCAGAAACACACTTACCCAAAAGTGCACAGATTAAAGAAAATGGGCGCGAAATAAAAACGACCAGAGAGACAACAAAAAAAAATCTTCTATCTCGCTCTTCGAGCGAAGGAGATCCATGTGACGTTTTTAACACGTTACAATCTTTCGGCATTTGTGGTTTTGATATTGGACATTATGACAATCCAACTTTTTACAAAATTTGGTTTTTTGGTAACTTGACATTATGGCAAAGAGACATTTTAGCATTGTTATTTTGACACCTGGATATTATGACAACTGGGCATCTTAACATAAATATTATATGCATACATGCTATAATGCGCAAAAAACTGTTTCCCTAACCTATTATGTAAACAGACAAAAACATTTGTCTCACATGGGTTCGAACCCTGGACTTCTGAGTAGGTAGGTACCTCAAAACCAGTGTACATAGCACTCACACCATGGAGGTAGACAAATGAATACCTGTTTCATTTTGATCTTGCATCTCCTCAACATCCATTTCAGACTTCACTATTTCAATATTGAAAGTAGGCTCCAGTTTAACCTCTTCTGAGTCTAAAGGCATAATACTCTGCATTGGTGACACGGAAAACTTCCAAGAGATATCAGGTTGTTGCTTCAAAATCATATTTAGTGTGTCTATGGTGATCTATAAAAAAACCATTAATTTAAAAAAAAAAGTTTTTGCAATGATTAATATATTACTGAAATGTTTGTGTATGTGGGGTGGGGCAAATGTTTGTTAATGATAATGAGAATTTGTACCTCAGTCATGGATGTTTATTATAATTATGTATTCTATCAGACATCCTATTATCCTATAACAGAAAAGTTAAGACAGAAACATATTAACATGTTGTATAGTGTCATGTCAACTCTGTAACCTATAATAAATGTATGAAATTGAAGTGTCACGACACGCCACGCCATGTTTATATGTTTTGGATTTACAGTGCTTACTTTGGGGTTAGGCTTATTGCTGTATTTGTAAGACACATTTACTTATTATGTTTTTTTAAAAGTTCTTACCTCGGAGTCGGAACTGATGAGTTGCAACAAGAGCTTGTTTGCCTTTAGTGATTTATCTATAAATATATAATTTTTTGATTATCGGGACATTTAGCGTCCTGATCAGCTACAAATCGGAACGCGTCCCCAGACCCCTGAAAATCGGGACACCTGGCAACACTAGGTGGGGCAAATGTTTGTCGATGATAATGAGAATATTTACCTCAGTCATGGATGTTTATTATATGTATTTTATCAGCTATGAGGAGCTCGATAGCGAAAGTGGATAGCGCGTTAGGCTGCGATCGTTGAATTTAAGCAACTTTCGCAGTGGTCGGTCATTGGATGGGTGACCAAAAATCTTCTATCTCGAGTTCCTCCGTGCTTCAGAAGGCACGTTAAGCCGTTGGTCCCGGCTGCATCTGCAGTCGTTAGCACCCGCCAATCCGCACTGGGCCCGCGCGGTGGGTCATGGCCCAATCTCCATCCATAGGGAAGGTCTGTGCCCCAGCATATTACTGAAATGTTTGTGTATGTGGGGTGGGGCAAATGTTTGTTAATGATAATGAGAATTTGTACCTCAGTCATGGATGTTTATTATAATTATGTATTCTATCAGACATCCTATTATCCTATAACAGAAAAGTTAAGACAGAAACATATTAACATGTTGTATAGTGTCATGTCAACTCTGTAACCTATAATAAATGTATGAAATTGAAGTGTCACGACACGCCACGCCATGTTTATATGTTTTGGATTTACAGTGCTTACTTTGGGGTTAGGCTTATTGCTGTATTTGTAAGACACATTTACTTATTATGTTTTTTTAAAAGTTCTTACCTCGGAGTCGGAACTGATGAGTTGCAACAAGAGCTTGTTTGCCTTTAGTGATTTATCTATAAACTTGTGCAATCTTCTAATCATATGATAGCAAATGTAGCATAAGCATGTTGGCCATTTGTCACCCATTACAAGCTAAAACCACATACAATAATGATATAGTATAATAGTAGACAATATTTTTACTACCTATGTTTAAAAGGAATTAAAGTAATTGTTTAATATAAATCATAAAGTTCTTGAAATCAATGTAAAGAATTCATAAGTTTTTAAATTCCCATTTAGTGTCTTCTTTATACAGATAATCGATTCTTAAATAATGAAAATTATAAACAGTCCGAGGCTGCTAAGGATACTGTTGGAAATAATGGAGCATTGCAAGGAAGATAGAGCTAGAGAGAGAAATGAGGAGTGAAATTTAAAGGATTAATAATTAAAACGAATTATTGAGACTACAACTGTGGCAATCAGAGATGAGAGATCTTACCGGAATTTCAGTGATATTTGTATAAATCTTTTGAAGTGGTCCATTCAATATTGAATACATACGGCTATGGTGTGCCAAGCATACTCTGCACACTTGTAAACGAGACATTATTGAATGTTTTCACTCAAATTTGGGATAAAATTCTGTCCACAGATAACTATATATGTAGCAAGCTAGTTATTCAATTTTTTTGGGTTACGTTCTCCCTTTTCAGAGAAGGCAAGGGGAACAATGCCCATACAGCCTAGTCTTAAGTTAAATTATTCTGTTTTTCTTTTTACATTAGAATGTCGGTGTGACGCATTCTAATGTTTCTTGAAGTGTTTGGCACGAAATGTATCGAGCTGGCTTTTTCGATAAGCTTCTGTGAGGTAGTCAATACTACAATAAAATTCTCACGTCCACTTGACCAGAATAGCGTATATTTTGACGATTCTACTAATTCTTCAGTTACGCAGACAGTTGTAACACAAAATCACACCAATTTTATTTCACAATATCCACTATGAACGAATTTAAGAATAATTAAAATAAGACGCCAACCACACTCGATGAAATCCCGCCAAAAACCTCAATTTTTTTTATTATTAATATGTTTTACGGCTCTGGTTTCTAGTCCATTTTAAGCCAAACGTTGAACAAGTCAAAAACAAAGTAAACAACACAACCACGATAATAATATATACAGTGGTGTCGATTCTAGCATGAATCTCTAAACCTAAACTTAAATTTGACAGCAGTATATCCCTGTCATGCTCTATACAGAATGAAAAGGAGAGACTGATGTTAAATTTAGTTTTAAGTTTAGAGAATCACGCCAGAATGGGGCCCAGTATTCTATCTTCATACAAACGGTCGGAAAGCGAATCATACCTTCACCACTCGAGTTCGGCGGAATCTCGGGCGACACCCAGTCGCGAATACGCCGCAGCGACTACCGAACGGTGTGAATTGTTTTTTATGCAGTTAGCCGTGCTTAAACGTGCGTTTTGTATTGTAAATATTTGATTGAATTAAGTAGATACCTACATAATTTAATATGGCAAAGAACAAACGACGATATTGTGCTGTTTTTGGTTGCTTGCACTCTTTAATAACGTACCCAGAGATATCATTTTTTAAATTACCTGAAATATTGGAAAGGTAAGACTATAGGATATTTTTTTATATACACATCTACTAGTACGTAAATTGTTTTTAATATTTAGATATTTCGATTTTTCCATCGAGCAAAATATCTGGAATAATATATAAATAAGTGGATAGGGTGAAAAAAGAGACAAACGAGTAATCTACCTACACTCACGTTAAAAACAAAACTAAATAATAGGTAGGTAGTTTAAAAAACAGTAATTGTTTATTGATAATAATAATGTAATTTCTTAAAAATAAAAGTGTTTCAATGACAATAATTAGTTTGCATGAAACGATCCCTACAGTACCTACCTAGTAAGATTTACCTACATTGTAGGTAATTTCCTTTTAACCCGACTGCGCCATGACTTACAAATGAATATAACTTGTATGTTTTAAATAATATTCTTTTATTGAATTATGTAAGAATAAAAATCAGCAGTCAGGTTTTTTACAAGCTTTTAATTGACTTGCAATATAGGTAGGTGTACGGGACGCCGGGCTGTCGCAGTAGCGGACAGTTACCGACTCGTACTGAGAGGTGGAGGAAGTTACACGCAGGAGTCTTGACTGTAGTGGACTGTAGTTTCGGCGAATAAACCCCTGGTGTTCGGTATTGAAGAAATCGGTGGGCGCTGATAATGGATGGCCGGTGAGAGGAGGCTTCAGGTCCAGAGTGAACCGCTTGAGTTTTTCTTCCTGTTCCTTATGGTAGGAGCGCCTGTCGCTGAATGCATGTCGGAGCATGTTCCGACTCGAATTTTATATGCTAGGACTGAGCTGGCCAGCGATCCATTACCTCACCCACGCTATACTTTATTTTTCATTTTATTTATTTATTTATTTATTTTTAGGGAAATAACAGCATTAATTTTTACATAAAAAATATAACATTAGTTTAAACAATTGCCTAGGTAATTTCCACTATTAATTATCTCACATAGTGTCTAATAAACACGAAAGAAAAAAGAAACAATTTTTGGTATCATAATGAACATAAACAAAACAAAAAGAAATAAGAATTTTGTGCCTAAAACGAGTTAAAAAATTAGTTTTTTAAATTTCAAAAAATTAAGATTAAATATATCAATGTGACTATATTTAGAGTTATATGATTTCATAGCTCGCACAATGTAGCGATTACTTGCATAATTAGTCCGACCCGCGGGAATGCAAAACGTATCACGTGCTCGTAGATTTGCTCTTGGACACTTTAGCAAAATTTTACTTAAAAGATATGAAGAATCGACAAGACCATTTATAACCTTGTGAAGCAAGACCAAGTCTCTGCACTCTCTTCGGTGTGCCAGGGATCGAACGTCATCCTCACAAAAATCATTGTATTTGTATTTCATCCTTGTAATGAATTTATTTTGTACTTTTTCTATCGCGCTTATGTGTGTTAAGTACTGCGGATTCCATACCGTTGAAGCGTACTCTAGTTGAGATCTTACATAACTGTTATATAAAAGTAATAGAGTTTCTATGTTTTTAAAATCTTTGCCCTGCCTAAATATGAAACCCAACATTTTATACGCTTTGGCTGTAATTTTATGAAAATGAGACGTAAAATACAATTGACTGTCCATTATCACCCCCAGGTCTCTCACCTCAGACTTTTTAGTAAGATCTTTGGCAAAAAGTTTATAATTAAATTTTATTTCAGTTTTTTTTCTGCTAAAGGTTATGGAACTACATTTATCGACATTCATAGTCAGCTTATTAATTGTACAATAATCACACAAACGATCTAGATCTTCCTGAAGTCTAACACAATCTTCAACAGACTTAATAATCGAAAATATCTTGGTATCATCTGCAAATAGTAAGAATTTTGAATTTTGAAAACACTGACTAACATCATTTATAAAAATGTTAAAAAACAATGGTCCGAGGTGAGAACCCTGGGGAACACCTGACGTAATCGGTATGAAACTGGACTTAAAACCTTTCACAGTAACTGCCTGAGTTCGGTTTTCAAGATATGACTGTAACCACCTCAGCAGGTCACCATGTATACCGATATTCTCTAGCTTTCTAACTAATATTTGATGCGAAATTTTATCAAAACATTTAGAGTAATCGGTATACACAGCATCTACCTGAAAACCATTATTCATTCCACACAATACTTGGTCTAAAAACTCACATAGGTTTGTTTCAGTGGAGCGCCCTGCTACAAATCCGTGCTGCTGACTAATAAAAATCGGTCTAAGGGCTACATTAAGGGAGTCGAAAACTATTTTTTCAAATAACTTAGGTATTACAGACAATTTTGATATTCCTCGGTAATTACGGATGTTGTGTTTATCACCATTTTTATGAATGGGTACAACCAATGACTGCTTCCACACTAAAGGCATTACTGCGCTAGACAACGATAGGCGAAATAGGTAAGCAATTGGAGCTGCCAATTGCTTGCAGCACGTTTTAATGAAATAAGGGTGAATACCATCCGGCCCGGATCCCTTATTTGCATCAACCTTTGATAGATACTTTTTGACAATGTCTTCCGAACATCTTACAGAATTAATAATACATTCACTTTGTCTATAAGGTGGATAGGTAGAAGTCGCCTCCGGATGGCTTTCAAAAACAGATTGAAAAAAAGTATTAAAGACATGTGCAATCGTTGATCCCTCTGAAACAGTTGAGTTGTCCAAGTAAAGTGTGTCTGGAATAGAGTTATTATCCTTTTTTGATTTTACGAACGCCCAAAAATGTTTGGTATTTTTATTTAAATTTACTTCTGTTTTTGTAATAAAAGTGTCATAGCATAATTTCTGCATTGATTTAATCTCTTTACGTAACTTAGAAAATTCCAGGTAATCAGACTGTCTGCCATAAGTTTTCCATTTTTTGTGCTTTCTTTGTTTTTTTTTGATAAGTTTTATTAACGGTCGCGAATACCAAACTGGATAATTGCTGTGTTTCAATATTTTTTTTGGAACGTGAATATCAATGATCTCATAAATAATTTTATAAAAAATGTCTACCGCTAAATCTATTTTCAGTCTATGAGAATGGTTTTGAAAAATTTCCTCCCAGTCAACTTTTTCAATGTCGCTTTTGATATGTTCATAATTAGCGGCATAGAAACATTGAACAGTCCGTGGCAATGGTAGTAGCAATGAGTCACTCTCAGTCTGCCACTCAACTTTAAGCGCAGGGTGATGTGTCTTCTGGCAGTGACAGCGGCTCGGTGCGAGATACAACACATTTAAAACTAGATATTACTAGGTCAAGACATCTATCATTAGCATTACCTACAATATTGTATTGAGACCATCCTGTAAAACTCAAGAACATATGCAGCTGTGACACCAGTGAGTTAACATGTGGATTAGATAAATAAACTCCTGAAATGGAATCACCATTCCATGCTGCATAACGAATATTAAAGTCACCGATCAGTAAATAATCATTGGTATCAATTCTAGCGTGATTCTCTAAACTTAAAACTAAATTTAACATCAGCCTCTCCTTTTCATTCTGTATAGAGAATGACAAAGATATACTGCTGTCAAATTTAAGTTTAAGTTTAGAGAATCACGCTAGAATCGACACCATTATCGGGTTCGTTTATTCCTATGTCAGAAACATGATCAAAAAATGATTGTTCAGCCAATTCCTGATTTGTACCTTGAAGAAAATAGCAACAAAATATTGATATTATTTTAGTATTACGCCCGTTTTTCATTACAATATTAATACACGTAATTTCTGTATCTAAAAGGGAGGGTACGGGGTGTACTGACCTTACATCTACGGACAATCCCTGACGCACAGCAATTAAGGTGCCACCACCCTTCTTAGTACGGTGCTTATCGTAATCCCTATCAGTTCTATATACACTGTATCGTCGATCAAAAAGTTCAGCATCGAAAATGCCAGGCAATAACCAAGTTTCGGTAAGACACACAATATCATAGTTGTAATTTAACAAGTTATTCAAGAATAACCCTGTTTTACTA